AGGGTAAATTAACGGGACACACCTGAACCAAATGACTAATCAAACGAGGGTCACGGGGAGCACAAGGGGAGAAAAACACAGCAAAACAGGAAGACCAGGCTGACAATTATGCTTTCAATTATTACCTACCTTAATTATTGTTACATTTACACCTACATGACAATGTGTTATCTTATTTCTATTTTTACTTCACTCTGGGTATATGAGGACACACCAGTGTCTTGAATAACCCATTTGCATAAATTACTTCATGTCTGATTAGATGTTGTACTTGAACTGTTGCTTTAAAAGTATAGTCATTACCTGGAAAAGAACATTTGTTCTTTGAATTAATCCCCTTGTGCTTTCTTGTTTCCTGATATATTGCTTGAAAAATACATGGGAGAATCCTGACATGCAATTTTCTGCTTTAATTTTCTCAGCTAAGATTTCATGTAGTGTATGTACAATTACCACATATAAACCGATGACCCTGGGAATTAAAAAAACAGTACATTTGCCAAACTGACATAAACATATTAACTGCAAGCAGATTAACCTATGCTGGTGGATATGATGTCAGCAGTTAATTGGATGAATGTTCATCCAGTGGAAATACATTTAGCCTCACACCTCAACCACAGACATCACTGTTCGTTCGCTCGACTTCTAGACCAGACCACCAACTTAGAATGACTCATGCCTGAAGATGTGGGCTGGTGACAGGTAACAATTTAGACTGAACATTGCTGGTTATAACATTCAAACAGCACATGGCTGTCAGGGTCAATGTTACAGATGAGTATTGTACATTCTCTCTGCACAATGAGCATGATGTTGGTGAGTCATTTTTAAAAAATAGCTAGCACACTAATAAGCAAGCACGGTGAGGGACAACAAAGCAAAGGAAGAATGGTAGCTCAGGGCCACAGGAAAAGGAGGACAGATGTAGGTAAAGGGTTTCTTGTCTTGTCATAATATGGTCAGTTTTTGAACTGAATGAAACTTTTATTGATACAGTGTCCTTAGGAGTTATAATTGTGGGAGAAAAAAAAAAGAAAACTATTTCTGTACTGTCCGTATTAACTTTTTGCTGTTAATACTTTCTTGATGTAGACCACATCCTGAACATTTAGCTGTACATGAAATGGACTGTTATTTATAAATCACATACAGTTTTACAGTAAATCTAGCCTGGTTTACAGTTTCTGGTTACAAGAATGTTCTGGGAACGTTAGTTTTTGGTTCTCAGAATGTTTTGAGCTTATTTTTTGGTTAGCTAGGAAGGTAATTCCATAAACCATATTCAAGTAGGCAACAACTAGTTGCTACTTGGTTTTTTTTTGTTTAAGTTTTGGCGTTTTATGCCTTTTATTTAGATAGGACAGTAAGTTGACAGGAAGCAAAGTGGGTGAAAGAGAGGGGGGTGGGGTCAGGAAAGGTCCACGAGCCAGGACTCGAACTCGGGACACCTGAAGCGCAATGGCACTACATGTCGGCACGCTGCCCACAAG